GAGCATTTGCAGAGAGGAAGAGCCACAGGCCGCGACTGGTCCTCAGCTACATCTCAGCTTCAGAGCCGTGATCTGCTTACTTTTACACATTTCTCCACTCCTAGCAGAAGTCTTCCCTTAAGCAAAGGTTAAGGCTGGTTTCCAGCTGCAAAAGCCACTCCGGGTAGAGACTGGAGCAGACACCCCTCACCCCCACCCCCCAGAGCCTCCTTCGGACCAGAGCTGGTGCGGGCAGGGCCCTGGGTGTGTGTCCTCCTCTGACCACCAGATGGGGTCAGGGCAGCTGGGGTGCTGGCTGGGGACGCCCGAGCCGCTCCCCAGTGGGGCACAACCACGAGCTGACACCGAGGCAGTGCCATGCCCTTGCCCGAGGCTGGCACCGGGGGTCCACATTCCCTTCCCTGTTTACGTCCACCGGAGTCTGGGTTCTGTGAGTTGAAGTGTTCCATATCCAAACGCCCCCACTTTTCAAATTCAAGAATTTCCCCGCTGGCCTTGAAAAAGCAAACAGCCCATGGTGGAGGGACCCCACGGCAGGGGACTGTGGGCACCTCCTGGAGCCGAGAGTGAGCACCAGACAACAGCCAGCAAGACAGCGGGGACTCAGGCGACCGCCACAAAGACCTGAGTCCAGCCAGCAGCCAGCGAGTGTGGCAGGCCCAGGCCCAGGCCCAGGCGGGATGGCAGCTCCAGGCACAGCTGGTTTCAGCCCGACAGCCTGAGCGGCCCAGCCAGGCCCTGCCAGGCACCTTGTGTGCAGAGCTGGGCGCTGACACGTGGCGGTCCATCACCACGTTCTCGGGACTCTGTCATGCCGCAACCCGGGGCCTGACTAGACACCAGGTAGGGAGAGAGGAGACGGGGAGGGAGGGAGGAAGAGGGCCGGACAGCACAGTGGCCCGCGCCTGTGATCCCAGCACGCTGGGGGACTGAGGCGGGAAGATCCCTTGAGCTCAGGAGTTCAAGGCTACAGTGAGCTATGACGCCACTGCACTCCACCCAGGCGACAGGGCGAGCCCCTGGGGGCTGCCAGGGCACAGGAGGAGGCACAGAGGGCACGGCCGTGCCAAAGAACAACCAAGTATCACCACCCAGATCGTGCTGTGCATGAAGCCAAGGCGAATGAGGTCGGGATGCTGAGAGGTGGCGGCACTGCCCCGGTGGCCAGGCCCGTGAGAACCCGAGCTGCAACCCCGGAGACGAGCTGCAGCTGGGCACCTGGGCACGCGGACACCTGGGCACGCGGGCACCGGGGCAGGCTCCACTCAGGACCCGGGCGACAGCAGCCGGAGCTGGGCGCGGCCGTGGGAGGGGGCGGGGCTGCATGCGCTGACGTAGCCCTCTGGGGTGACGACCCTGCAAGTACAGTTTTCCCATCCCCACGCCTCGGCCCCTCTGCCAGGCCGCACCCGCCTGCCGGCGAGCGGCGGGGCCGTTGCTGCCACGTGCTGGGAGAATCCGGAAAAATAAGGGAAAAAGCCGACCCTGGAAAGGGGCAGAGGCCGGTGTTAACTTCCGCTCCGGGGTTTCCAGACACGCAGCCCCGGCCGAGGAGACCAGACTCAGCACCCCTGCGCCCCTGGAGCCTCCAGTGAGCTCGGATCCTACCCTTTGCACAGACGAGGAAACTGAGGCCCAGAGCAGGGAAGGGCTTGCTGAGGGGGGACCAGGACCCAGGGCTCAGTCTCCCCCGCCGCCTGTCACCAGGCAGTGGGACCAGCACTGCCTCACCCTCCATGGCCTCGGCCTCCACGTCGGGGCTCCAGCACGTGGCCCCCTGAAGCTGCGAGTCTCCTGCCGCCTCCCATCCTCTAGTCTTGTCCTGCAACCTCCCGGCAGGGGAGGTGTTTGGAAGGTGGCAGGTTGTGAGCGGGAAGCTGATTCTCCAGGCCTTGGCCAGCAGGGGGCGGCTGCACCCAGGGACGCCAGCGCCAGCAGGACGGGCTTGACGCGGGCCTGATCTCCGCAGGCTGCACTCGGACTCGATGGCCCTTTGGGGCGCTGGGACGCAAGGCTGTCCGCACCCACCACAGTGGTGAGGCTTCTTCCTGGGGCCCCGTGTTCCCAGCAGCTGGAATTGAGGAGCTTGGGGATTCTGGAAGAGGAGCAGGTGGAGAAAGTGGCAGAGACCCCCAGCAGGGACCCTGGAGGGAAGGGTCACAGGTGTCTTCTGGGCCTGGGTGGCTCCTGGGGAGGAGGCGCCCCACGTGGGAGGGGAGGGGCCTGCAGGGCCTCGCCTACGGGACCCCCCTCCCCATCCCTGGCCAGGAACCCAGCGGGGGCCGCCCCACAGCGGGGTGGTGGGGGGTGAGGGTCAGGGAGACTGACTCCCGCTGCACAGGCTGGGGCCCTGGCCACCCACCACCTGCCCGGGCACAGGGAAGGGACAGTGCTGGGAGGGCCAAGGTTGCAGGGTCCACCTGCCGGGCCCCAGGTAAGGGGGGGTGCCAGCCCCAGGAGGTGCCTGCGGAGGCTCTATGCTCGGCTCAGGGGACAACAATGGAGCACTCTGCCCGCTGGGTGCCTTGGGGGGGTGAGGGCAGCGTCCCCACCTGAGCCCAGGAGCCCAGCCAAGAGAGACTACTGGAGCTGCTCCTGGGCCACCAAGGTTGGTGATGTCCATTCCAGGGCCAAGGGCGCCCCTGAGAGGCGGCTGGTGGGACCACATCTGTGCAGGTCCCAGAGAGGAGGTGAGACAGGGAGGTGACGCGGCGGTGAGGGCGGGGGGGCAGACCAGAGAGGGCTGAGCCACCCGCCCTGGACCCACAGCTTCACCTCTGCCCTGCCCCTCGCCCACTGTAGGGGGCCAGGGCTCCAGGCCAACATGGTCCCCATGGGTGGTGCCGCCATGGGGGTGACAGTGGGGGAGGCACCGCCGGGGGATGGGTTACTTTGGAGATGGAATTACCTCGGTTCTTCAATCACCTGTTCTCTGAGGTCACAGCGCCATGGATAGAGGGCAAGTAGGTAGGAGGGTGGACGGACAGGTGGTAGGTGGATGGACACGCGAAGGGACGTGTGCAAACTCGTACACGCGGTGCCGCAGGAACAGAGCTGTCAGCGGCACCACCTCAGGGGGACGCGCTGCCTCCTCGCCAGCTCAAAGCCAAGGAACCAGCTCGGAAAGGGAAGGTGCCCAATCAAACCTCAGCCTGAGGCTGTGTTTGAGGAAAGTCTCAAAACTCCCAGTCACAGCCGCCTCGGGAGGAGACGCCCTGCCCGCCACAGCTCCTTCCAGCCAGATCGGCGCCGGACAGGCCGGGCCCGGCAGGGTAAGCTCCAACGGCTCACCACCGGCTTTGGGGTTGGCCCTTCTCTTCCCGATAGAAAAGTCCATTTGGAGCTGATGGGGCCTTACAGACTCCGGACTACCTCAGGGCCTGCTGCCCAGGGTCCCACCACACCGGCTGGGGGCACACAGATCCCCGTGCGGGGCGCTCCTGCCGGGCTGCGGCCGCCCACACGCACCGCAGTGACCAGAGCTCCCCTCACCTGCCCGCCCCTGCAGCTGGGTTCCATCTACTGGAACCCAGGCACGGAGGAGCAAGGCGTCCCCGAGTCACCCCCTAACTCTCGACCAACAAACCCTTGGCCGGGCACGGGGGCGCCTGCAGTCCCCGGCACCGGGAGGCTGAGGCGGGAGGATGGCCGGAGCCCAGCGTGAAGCTGCAGTGAGCCATGACCGTGCCTGGACAGCCACCGCACCCCATGATGCGCGACACAGCGGGACCACGGCTGCAAACAAAAAAAAACCACACAAGCGCAGCAACAGGAGGGAATTCAGTAATTCACGGGGTGAGCAGACTGCAGCCTTCAAGTGACCTGAAGGGCCGGGCACTGAGCCTACGGCACGGCCTGAAAATAGTAGCTCGGATGCAGCAACAGCAAAACCTTCCTGTGAACAAAACGTCAGAAAAGAACACAAGTCACTGTGCCTTAAGGTTTAAGAACTGCGATTAGGCAGGAGCAATTTTCTTTTTTTCAAAAAGTTCTATAGTATGGTCGTTTCCAACTCTTTGACCAAAAAAAGTCAATAAAAACCACAAAGCGTCATCATCGTGTGTCTCTCCGCCAAAGTGGGGCCAGCAGCCCCGCCCCCACCCTGCAGCGAAGGGCCGGGCACGGCGGGGTCACAGCCCGGCTCTCACCACCCGCAGTCCGTGATGGACTCACCTTAGAGAACCACAGCATCTAGGACAGGTGACCTGGCCACGGCCCTTCCTTCTCCTTGGCCCCTAACCTGCTCCCAGCCCGGACTGCCCAGCCAGCGGGACTGAAGGAGGTGCCAAGTGCCGCCGCCCTCCCCATGGCCACACTCGTGAGTAGCAGGGCTCCAGGCAGCCGCGTTCCCTTCAGCAGTCACACGTGACAGCCAGCGGCCCAGGTCCTGCCCACCCCAAGTCCACTCCAAGCCCAGGCCTCTCGCCCACAGGCCTCAGCCCAGCATGGCCTGACCGGCTGGGACCCACGGGACTCGGACACGGACTAAACCCAAGACCCCCTCGTCACCTACTCAGCCGTCAGCGGGGCACTGGCTGGTAGACAGGGCTCTCCTTGCTGTGCTGTCAGGGTGCCCCGCACACCTCCATCCCCACGGTGGGGACCTGCGCCTCCTTCAGGCTCTGGTGGGGGTGCAGCTGCCTCGGGCCCTCCGGGGCCAGCAGCAGGGCTGGAACGACGTGCAGCAGCTGAGCCGGGAGGCCCCGGGACGTCAGCTGTGAGCCGCCTGCGCTGCAGAGGACAAGGGTCTTGGCGGAGGCACAAGGCCCCGCGCAGCCCGGACACAGCGTAGGAGTGGGAAGTGAAGAGCCCTGTCCACACGGCCCAGGCCACACGCCAGCGGCTGTCCAGATCTCTCCCGAGGTGTGCGAACAGTTTTTCCCTCGCAAGGGGACATGAAATTGAACACCGCTAGGAGCCTGCGCCGGCATCCCCCCTCCCAGGAAACGTGTCTGCAGGACGTGCCGGAAGCAAAGCTGCTCTGGTGAGGACCTGAAGCATTTTATTTCACGGCTGCTGCAAGCGTAGGTGGCCAGGCCCTGACACAGGTGCAGTGTGAGTCTCCAGAGTTCGCCCTCCTCACCTGGGCTCACCCCAGTGGCAGGCAGCGGCTCTTTGGAGAAAGGAGCGTTTCCTGGGACACTGGCACTGAGCGCAGCATCCGCCTCCCAGGGCCTCGCCTTCCCGCAGGGTGAGCTGAGGAGCCGCTGGGCCTGGAGTCCAGGCGTCAGGCCCGGTCTCCCCGCCCTCGCCCAACACCGCGCCCGTCCTGGGCCGCCCGTGTCACTTCCTGCTCCCCAGGATCCGTTTCCTTTTCCTCTCTGGCTCCTGGACCTTGGCCCCCTCTGCTCGGGTACCGGATGGCTGCCGAGGTGTCCTCTTCCTCTTGCTAGCGCCTCCACGGCTGCGGCCCCGGGGCTGCTCTCGGGGCGGGGCCCGCTCGACTCCCGAGCTCGGGTCTGGGCTCGAGTCCTCCTGGTCACCTTTCCCTGACCAAAGAACAAGACGCCGTGAACATGGGCTTGTTTCACTCACTTCTGCTCTGTGACTGCAGATGCCAGCACCGGGGCACGGGACCACCCAGCCGCGACGGCCTGCGAGGGGATCCCACATCCAGTGCGGACATCAAGCCCACGGGCCACCTGTGCTGGCTCACGATACCAGGGATGGTGGGAAGGGGGTCTCAGAAAGACCAGGTTGAGCAGGGGCAGGAGACTGGGGAGGAGAGGCACGAGGGGGTGGGTGGGCTGAGGGTCGCTGCAGGGAGGGAGAACAGCCCCTGGCCAGAGGGTCAGGCTGCAATGCCAGGGCCGGGAGTTTTAACTCAACTTGCTGCACAACAGGCCACAAAGATAGTTCTCGGTGCAGGCACAGGAGCCAGGCCGAGGGTAGGCCGGAGAGGCCACTGCCCAGCTGGGAAATGACCGGCCTCAACGAGGCGGGTGGCCTGGGCTGGAGTAGGGGTAAATCCAGTGACCCCGGGGCTGGGTTAGCACAGATGGGGTGACGTGGAAGGCTTCCCAGCTTGGGGCGGGGCCACACCTCCCTCCTCTGTACCCTATTCTGGCTACAGCACCCAGGAACCCTGCCTGGCACTGTGCGCATGGCCCTCCCTGCTGCAGGCCCAGGGCAGCCCTAGAGAACGCCACATGCCAACCACACTAAGGTGGCTGTGGAGGGCTGAGAGGAAAGCAAGCCCTGAAATCAGGGACAAGAGTGGCAGGGCCTAGGATCTCTGGGGTGTGCGGAAGGAGTGGGGTTCGGACCACAGGTGCCGGAGGGTCGGTAAGAGGCAGCAGCAAAGAGAACAGCCTCCAGCCTGCAGAGGGCACGTGTGCAGCCGGCAGCAGCTCTAGACCAGGAAAGGCACCAAGGCCGTGTGTGCTGAGGCTGCAGCCACACAGCGCCTCTCCAGGACACGTGGACAGTGGGCACCCAGGACAGGGGACTTGGCACTCCCACCCTGGGGAGACAAACAGGTGACGCCAGCACCTTCACGGCTAACGGACACCTCGAGTCCTACCTCCCTTGCGCTGCAACCGTGCTTTAGGCAAACGCTTCTTCGTCTTCCTCTTCCGCCTCCCCTCAAGCAGACTCCTGCAGGCCTTCTCTGGGAGCTCGTCCTCGGGGAAGACGCCTGAGGACCAGGGCAGACCGTCAGGGGGCTCGGGGCGGGGGGGGGAATGCTTTCGGTCCGAGGTTCGCCACTCCCCACGGCCCCAGCAAGCACGAGTCTTTCTTGTGCAAGAGGCCCTGTCCTAACAGCCAGAACAGCCTGCTCAGGACACACCACAGCTGCACCCAGCCGGCTCAAGACCAGTCACACCTGGGAAAGCCAATTCTCGGAGCATTTACGACCCAGGCTGAGAGTCCCTTATCCAAAACGCTGGGGACCACACATGTTTCAGATTTCAGATTTGTCTGATCCTGGAATATTTGAATTAGACTTACTGGTTCAGCATCCATAACCTGAAAATCCAAAATAAAAGATGCCCCAGGGAGCAGCTTCCTTGAGCATCACATCAGCACTCGAAACAGCTGTGGGTTCCAGAGCATCCAGGATTTGGGATTTTCAGGCTGGGGATGCTCACCACGCGCACCTGGGTCTATTTCCTAAAAGTGCCCATGCAGGGAAAGGGACGCGGGGACTTTCTGAGCACTGGGAACATTCTGGACCTTGATGGGTTGGGGTTACACAAGTCCATGCGGTGGCCCAAACCCCCCAGATGGACTCAACATTCACGCAGTGAGCCGCGGGCAAGCTGTCCCTGACGCAGCCCGGACTGGAGTTCACAGTGCGCGCTGCAGCTCTCGGGCTGTGGTCTGAGCAGGGGCAGAGGGACGGGTCAGTGGGTATTTACGTGGTAACACAAGGCCAGTAAATGCTCGTGTTGGAATCGAGGCGGTACATACACAGGCAGCCACTATAAAATCCTCCCAACCGTGCCCTACGTTTGAAATTTCTCATAATGAAACGCTGGGGGAAATGCTTACCTCAACCATAACCCTCCTAGGAACTGTCTTTCAGACAACCTACGCCAGCCCCACCAGCCACGCACTACGCAGACCAGAGGCGCAGCACTGTGGCCTCTCAGGAGCCCCTGGGGCCAGCACCCGTCTCCCAATTCTCCAGGGGGCTCCGATGGACCCTCCAGTCTGAGAACCACTCAGCAAAACTACCAAGATGAGAGCTATGCTTCCCTAAGCCCTGCCTCCCTCTCCCCCAGAACCGCCACCGGGCCTCTCTGCGAGACCCTGTGTGCCACGAGAAGACACAAGGACGCAATCCACTCCCACGAAGACGGACTCGCAAGGCGCTGGGAAGGGCGCTCCCGAAGCCCAGCCCGATCCTCACCTCCTGCCAGGTCCTGCAACCTAAAGAAACACACTGTCACTCACCACAGCTGTGATTTCTGCACAAAGAGGGAAGCTGCGTCCACAGAGGAGCTTTAGAATCCCGGTGAGGGGCTGCCCTGGGGGCTGCAGAGGGACCCCAGAGGGCACTGCCCCTGCTGAGCAGCTTTCCCGAGGGAGCCCTGAAGACCTCTGGCCTGGCTGAGGCCACGGCAAGCCAAGGCACCCGGGGCTAAGGAAGCTGAGGGCGGCCCCAGGGCAGCGGGAAGGGCACCGCCAGCCACCTCCAGAGAGACACTCACTTTCGGATCACCTTGTAGAGGCGCTTCCTGTTCTGAGAAGGGGTGCTCCGTCGGCTGGCCACTTGGAACAGTCTGTTCGCGAGCGCCTCATAGTCGAACTGTTGCAAAGGAATGCCGCAGAGACAGTCAGTCACCCTCCCCGCCCCACGCTCCGAGAACGTGGAGCTCATCAGACGGAGACGGCACTTGGTCCCACGTGCGGGTCGTCTACTCGGCTCACAGGAACACCCCTCTGTGTCGCAGAACATTCCTGCCGCCAGTGCCGACTGCCCAAGGCGGGCACCGCAGACGCTCCAGGGCAGCACTGCCCACAAGGGGCTAAGGAGACCAGGAATTTGACAGATTTTATTTAACCCAAAATACCCAAAATCTCATTAATTCCACAGGTAGTCCTACTTAAAACTTACTAGGACAGTCTACATTTCCAACTTGCAGGAATCACAGACCCCACTGGCCGAGGCGACTCTGAGCTGGGACCAAGCAGGCCAACCACTCAGCGTGCGCCACCTTGTCCAACCCTGCCCCCCGATGGGGGCGGCAGGAGATCTTGGGGTGCTGGCCGCGTGCGAGGTGAAGGAGCACACACGGCAAAGCCAGGCCTGGCAAGTGTGGGTCTGCCCGCGCGCCCCCGCGCGGTTCCCAGTGACCACTCCTGCACGCGCGCAGGCCCATCCTTCCTGCGACGCCAACCTCTGCGAAGACCTCCCGTGAAGGCTGGCTTCTGAGTCAATGGCTGCCACCCTCCTCCTTCCAGAGCCAGCGGGGAAGGTGGGCAAAGGCTGAGAACGCAGCCACGACCCCAGGCACCCACCTGGAGGACGGGGCCGTCCCTGTCGTCTCCCCACGGCTCCTGGCCCACCTCAGGCTCAGCTCCGCGGATGGAGCCTAGAAGAGGAGGGAGCCGTGAGCTCACAGACTGCACCTGGCACATGCAGGGCCCCGACACACACACCCGGGCACCGAAAGCCACTCTACTCCCATCCCGCTCAGGGCTCGGGCAAAGGCTGGGAGAGCCCCCAGCTCCAGGCGGCCTCGTAGGGAGGGGAACGTGCAGCCTCGGGCCTGTGAACGCAGGAAGACATCCCGGGGCCGTGGCGCCTGCCCAGCCCTTAGAGAGCAATGAAGAGTGGGCACCTCGGGCAGCACAGACAGTGTCACCAGTTCCAGAAGTGGGGAAGAAGGGTGGCTGAGTCCAGCTACAGCTGGGCCCGGATCGAGGACTGTGGACATGGCGCCTCGGTCGGGGCTCTCGTGGCACCGCCTGCAGGGCGGCTCCTGGACAGCCGGCAGCTTGGGGGCAGCATGCAGTGAGGACAACTGCCGGCCCAGGGGTCTGCTCTGGATGACTCGGTCACTGAGTGAGGACGAGGGAGGACAGGGAGAGGCTCACAGGACGGCAGGTCAAGTGCGAGAGTGGGGGCTATCTTCTGACATCAAAGCCAAGGGGTGCACAGCAACGACACTAGGAGTCAGAGGAGCATCCTGAGAGTGGCTGACGACACACCCTCTACGGCACAGGACAGGACACTCAGTGCCCAGACTGCCCAGCAGTCAATGACCGCAGCGTCCAGACTGGAAACAGCCAGGCTGGACACCACCGAGCTGCAGCACCACAGCCCAGGCCACGAGGCCCTTCGGTGGGCCGTTCACGAGCTTGAGTGCCCACCCGTGCAACCACCCAGCCGTAGCCAGATGCCACTCTTGTGCCGGACCCAGCCGTGATCAAGACAGAGCGCCCTGTCCTCTGGGGGTGGGGGGGGGCAGGCAGGAAGGAGGGGCATGAGGAGCAGGGGGTTTATGTAACACGCCGTTAGAGACAGTGATGCGCAATGTGGACGGCAGCCTTGGAGGCTGCCCTTCAAACAGGGTGGTCAGGGCAGCCCTCGAATGGGGGACAGAGACCTGCAGGGGACAGCGCACTCTGGCTCTGAGGCAGGACAAGCCGGGGAAGGGGAAGAGCCCAGTGAGCCATGCAGTGCTCTGAGAACACCGTGGTCGCTGGAGGCCAAGGATAGCCAATGACACGTGTGCTCCGTTTTTTTTTTTGAGACAGAGTCTTGCTCTGTTGCCCGGATAGAGTGCAGTGGCGTCGTCATCACAGCTCACTGCAGCCTCCAACTCCTGGGCTCAAGTGATCCCCTGCCTCAGCCTCCGAGCAGCTGGGACCCCAGGTGCAAACCATGATGCCGTTTTCTATTTTTAGTAGAAACGGTGTCTTGTTCTTGCTCAATCTGGTCTCAAACTCCTAAGCTCAAGTGAGCCTCCTGTCTCGGCCTCCCCGTGTGCTGGGGTTAGAGGTGTGAGCCACGGTGCCGGGCCTGCTGTGTTTTTAAAGGTCACTCTGGCTGCGGTGCTGACGGCAGACTTCGGGGCCGAGGGCGTTAACAAGGGGACCAGCCAGGAGATGCTGCGCTGCTCCAGCAAGAGACCACCGGGGCCCCGCCCAGGACAGCGCCACAGAGGCAGCTCGACACCCTCAGACCCGGACGTTTTGTGATCCCACCTGCAGGCAGCTTCTCAGACCTCTCCCGGGACGGCAGGTCTCGTGTGTCCGCACTGCCCTCCGAGGACTCGTCACCATCCGACGCCTCCTCCTCTTCCTCCTTGCTTTGTGCGTCCAGTTCCTTCATCAGGTCCTCAATGGCAAACGGGGCCTGCTCCACGATGGTCTCGAAGATGCCTCGAGTGATGTTATGCAAAACCAGGGAGCTGGGGACAAAGCAGGCCGCAGAGCGGGCGCGTTGGGCCGGTTCTCAGGCAGAAGCAGCACCGAGTCATCCTGCCAGACTCGCCCCACCGCTCGGCCACCAGCCTCTCCTGCCCCCGGACACAGTCGACACAGCCCCGCCACTCTTCCCTAGAGGGAGCAGCACCCCCAAAAGGCAGTGGGCACCCCGAGAACTCAGTGGAAAAGAGTCAGGCCTGCCCAGGCCGCCTGCCACTTACTCCTTGGTGCGGGCAGCGACTCTGCAGAAGGGGTCGATGAACTTGAGATTCTGGTCTGCGGTAAGCTACAGGGAAGGACACGGGAACTCAGCTCCTCGTCCACAATCGCCCACCGACGAGCTCAGCCGCCCGCCGGGCCCCGCCTCACCTCCTCGGCGCCCACTTTGGTCAGCTCCTCCAGAAAGATCTCGATGAAGTGGCTCTTCACCCCGTGAGGGGCCTGGCTGTTGGGGTGCAGGATCTCGGTCGTCAGCAGCTCCAGCAGCTGCTCGATCTGTCTGAGGAAGGAAAGGCTCATACCTCGGGCAGCCACGACCGGTCTGCACTCTTATCCCTCCTGCCCTCAGTCATCAGCTCTGCCAGGAACACGAGCGCAGGCAGATGCCACCGTCTGCAAACATGCCAACTCTCACGTCCCCACAGGTGAAGACCGAGGAGCCTGGGTCCGTTCCAGCACAAAGCCGTCCTGCAATTACACTTCTGTGACCAGCACTAGAACACACGGCGTGAGTGTGCATCTCAGCTACAAAACGCAACACCTGCACACATTCCAACAGGCCTTCCTCTGTCCTCCAGACTGCTAGCAGAGGGACAAAGGCCTGGCCGAGGGAGGACAGTACCACCACCTTGCCTGGCATTCCTCTCCACTGTCCCCACTGGGTCCCACTTAGGAAGACACACCAGGACAGAGCACAGGCAAAAGGAAGACAGAGGCCCAGGCAGGGGCTGAGGACTGCACGCCACTCGCTGGCTTCCTAGGCCCCGCTGCATCAAGCACTCTACCCACAGCGCGTGCGCCAGAGCTCTTCCTGCCACGTGGGTCTGATGGCCTCACAAGCCTAAGACTGGAGAGCCCCAGAGACCAGACTAACAGTCAATATGCATCCGAAACGCCTGGGGTGCTTGGTAATGCAGACCCTACACCCTGACTTACACAATGCGTCTCCTTTAAGAAGCCCCTGGACAATTCGGACGCGCAGCCAGGGCTGGGAATCCCCGGTCCCAGAAAGGAAAAGCGATGCCCTCTGCGAGGCTCAGGAAAAAGCACAGAGGCAAGATCTGGTGCAAAACCAAGAGGAAGACACCCAGAGGCAGGAGACCCACTCCCCGGGCTAGTGATGATACCACCGAGCATTAGACAAACAAAAAAGCTACGTCTGCAGGAGAGCGGAGAAAGGCTAGAAGAGTAGGTCAAACTCTCAGCACTGGATACCCCAGGCCAACGGGAGAAGTTACCAATTTGTTCCTAATGATCTCCGTGTGGAATTACTACTTACAATGAGGATGAAATTACTTTTGTAATAACCCAAACAAAGTTAACTAAAATAAAATCGTCCCTTTAACACTTAATTTGGATTAAGTCACTAGATCCCAGAGGGGTAACCCCCAACACTAAGTCCTAACATGAGCAGCAGTCCCGGCCCCCAAGTCCTCCCAGGCGATTCAAGGATGGAACCCGCGGCCAAACCAGAGCACTGGCGCCAAGATGGAAAACTCACGCTCGGTAATTCACATGTAGGGAAGTTCGGGTAACCTCAGTGCAATTCCTGCTGACGCTTTTCACCAGGGAAGGACAAAAGTGGGCTAGAGCAAGAATCTGTTAATTTTGTAATCCTGAAGGTAAGAAAGTCCTACACTAACGTGGGCCATGAGCCGTACTCTTGTCTGACAGCTCTTCTGACACCTGGGTACCAGTTTTCACCTTCACAGACTCAAGATCAACTCCTTTTAACGTAGACTTTTAAATTACAAATCAATTCCAAATGTATTGGCC